GGGGCAAACGCCAAGGTCTCCGGCGGAAATTCGCAAACTCGAAGTGCCCTCAGATGAGGGGGAAACCCAAGGTCTTCTTCGCCAACTACTGCCGAGGCGATCGATTCCAGAAGAGGATCGAGTTCGATAGCGCCCTCGAGTACGACGACGGTAGTGTCGAGGCCCCGCGAGACATGGTGACCATCCAGGCTGCTATAGAAGGTGTCAAAGTGCCTAGGAACGAAGCAATGGGAACGTATTTTGTCAAGTGTTTGTGCGACATCCTGCGCCACCACGGTAGATCCAAGAGTCTGAAGGATGTTTATCACGAGTTGGACGAAAGGACACGGGAGGTGGGTGGCACGCAACCCATGTGGGAGGACTATATTTTTCACGATTTTTTCTTTTAAGTCAATGCAATATTTTATCTCAGATATTATGCTTCACTAACATTTATGTTTGCAAATATGAATTGTAAAACGGGAGAACGCAATATCTGCCATTATGATGTGGAAAAACGTTAAATTACCGGCACATGTAAACTTTAAATGATTGTTGAATGGGAAATGTCATTTGGAAGTACCTAGTCACTAGACGTGCTGTGATATGTAGGTAAATACATATGATAATCATAATAATGATGATGATCGTAAGTAATGATAATAGTAATGGTAATCATGATAATAATTATATAAAACCAATACACAACAGTCGTTTTATTTTGCCTCATTCCATGCCTTGTTTGCTTCTTTATATTTGTATAATAAACTGTTACAATCATCTCAAAAGATTCCATGAAATTATAGAGAAGGTAATATAAAATTCTACCGCTATGAAGGTTATTTAGTGGACCATGCGTTGGCAAAACTGCCTTTCCAAATTATGTGAGTATATAAGATTTCCCCAAATCTCAAGGATTATAATAATTAACGATAAATGACGTAAACTTCACAGACTAAATTTCATATATGTGACTATGCAAATGCACGATATGACTGACTTCATATACTTTCGTGTGACATATATATCTCTGGTTATAGACTGTAGTGCATGTGCAGTGGTGAGTCGATCCTTTCGAAAAGAAAGGGATAATTATGATATCTTCACACTGAGTAAACCCCATGCTGGACCCCTGGAAGTCATATGGTTCGTAACTAAATATAAAGGAGAGGCCTTATACTACTCACAACCAAATGTTCGGAATAAAGCACAGAGAAGTGGCACACCCAGCGGTCAGTTCCACACATGATTACACATCTGTGTACCAATGTGTACATGCAAACATCAGGTATACTCGTATATTTGACAATTATTTGTACACGTGTACATGTGACGGGAAACAAATACTTGACAAAACCTTTAATAACCTTCATGTATATATTGGTTTTCACAAATCATTTACCTTCTTTTGTTTACCTAGTAAATTTCCTGGTATACTTCTTGCTCTCCCCTACCATCAGGGACAAGTTTGTGGGGATGTAGGGGGTGTCCTCAGCACAAGTTCAATGTATATGAACACAAGGAACATGTAGCCAGGTAGCTCCACTTCCATTTAGCTTGTTAAACGCAGGAATGAAACTGACCTTTAGCCGAGGGTGTTCTGATGGCTGTCAATGGTAAGGAACTCTTCGTTGTCATAAATAAAAGGGAAATTTTGGTTTTACTTTTGGGAATTATAACAGTGCTGAATAGATTATCTGATATCTCACGGTATACTCTACTTGATTTAAGTGTCGTGATGTATTAATTCCACCTATTTTTGACCCATTTGATTTGTGTAATATTTTGTTCTTTTCAGTGCATTTTGTGTATGGTTCACTAAAAACATTTGAAAAAAGAGAAAGAAAACAAGAAACAAAGTAATAAAGAAGTATTCAATATTTGCAATGAATAAAGTCGATGAGGTTGGGCTTAGTTCAGAAGTTGCCAACCAAGGTTTTTCTCAGGCCAGAGTGGGAATACCTGTGCACAAGTACCTTAAAAGAACAACTGAGGCTGGGAGGAATCCATCAGCATCGTTATCGTCATGAAATGTGGCTTGTTCTGAAGAATTGCCATTCAGGTTTCTTTCCCCTTCTCTTCTCTGATCTTTCTTCCTCTGCATTTGTTGTTGGGAGATTATCGTATCATTTTATGATGTAGCACATAACACAAATAGTGGCTGTTGCCAAAAAAAAAATCTTAAAGATCCAGCCTGAATTCAGTAGTAAAATGTATGCATATCAAAGCAATGTATTCTTTGAAACAACACGAACATAGAAATCATCAATAATATAAAAAAAAGAAAGAAAAAAATTTCCCATAAAAAGTAAAGAAAATAGTGAAGCAAATTCTTCATATTATATTTCCCAAGTTCCTAGTATGTGCTTAGTGAATAATCATATACGAACCAGCTTAATTGATCATGATATCACTTCACCCATCTCTACAAAATATTTACAATCAAACAGCTGTAATTTTGCCACTAAATGTCGCCTTTACCGCAAACCATACGAATGCGATGATGGAGCTTAGACTTCGGATTAAAATGTCTACAACTTATTTATTGTCCAAAACATCTGCACTTCAGTTAAATATTGCAAATCTATTACTTACATTACAGATTTGTATAAATTGTTGCATCATGACATACAGATAATAAATTGCTTAGAAACTGCAATCAACGCCGAAATGATGGCTCGAGTTTCGCATTCGGACCATTACTGCTGGATAGGTGGAAAACGCCGGCACGACTGGCGTAAAACAGGGCAGCATCCTCTGTCCCCGTCTCTTTAATGCCTATAAGAGCAAATGTTCCCCCAAGATAAGATGTAATATCAATGATCAACTTGCAAATCACTCACTGTATGCAGATGCCATTGTTCTCTTTGGCAACTCATTAGCAGGCTTACAGACTTTGCTTAGTGACTCTGCTGATTACACAGCTGTTAAGCTCCTCCTGAACACCAATAAAACGAGAACTATTTTTTAAAAACAAATCACGATTGTTTAAAACGCCTGCGGCAGGAGTCATGGTTGTCAAAATTAATATCCAATTTATTAATGTTTATTTCGGTTATGTGGTCACACAAGAACTTGGACAACCGTCACATAGAGAAGTTCCATAGGAGATTGTGTGTTCGGGCCAAATGTTATATTTCGAACTTTTAACTTCACATGATGTTTGGACACCTATTTAAAAGCTTACCTCTTTCCCATTTACCTATTTACCTCTTTCCACTGCATGCAGCTTGGGATGGACTTCAGATTTTCGCAAGCTTCGTGTATGTTAAAATAGCCTACGGAAGGTGTTCGGCATTCACAACCATAGCAGCATCTCTCGCGCATCTTTACAGAGCTGCGTCGTAAGGGTGATGTTAGCTTGCTGGCCTGCATTAAACTGGCAAACAGCAAATTGCTTAACAGCCTACACTTCACTTCCGTATTAATGTATTTACCGACTTTGTATTATTTTAGTTGTATGTAGAATTATATCTATGGTATACGAAATAAATATTATTCTCATCAACATCATCGTTATTATTATTATTATTATTATTATTATTATTATTATACACACACACACACACACACACACACACACACACACACACACACACACACACACACACACACACACACACACACACACACACACACACACACCACACACACACACACACACACAACACAACACACACACACACACACACACACACACACACACACACACACACACACACACACACACACACACACACACACACACACACGACTCTTTTATGGCGTTTTGTGGCGTAAGTGGCACTGGTAAGAATCTAGACATAACCTCTCTTGCATCATTACATCTTAACAGGGAAAGACGGGTGCCGTAAAGTTACACCGCATGCTTGTGCGGGAGGATTTCTGTCTGCCCTTCTCTGTCTCTTTCTCTTTCTCTCCCTCTCTCCCTCCCTCTTTCTCTTTTCTCTCCTCCCTCCTCTCTCTCTCTCTCTCTCTCTCTCTCTTCTCTCTCTCTCTCTCTCTCTCTCTCTCTCTCTCTCTCTCTCTCTCTCTCTCTCTCTCTCTCTCTCTCCCTCCCTCCCTCTCTCTTTTCTCTTTCTCTCCCTCCCTCTCTCTCTCTCTTTCTCTCTTTCCCCCCAGCTCTCTCAGCTGTGCCAAGAAAATAATATCACAGGGATAATGATACGAAGTATTTCTGGTCCAGACTGAGTGTATTTCGCGCCTTTTCTGGCGATATATATAACCTTACGGCCGAGTTTCTTATGAAAGACGAAACAAAAATGCTCATAAAACAATACAAAAATAGTAGGACGAAGAAGAGAGGCTACGAGTAAAATACAAATTGATTATAATCAACTGAATGACGTCAGTTGTCTGTTTGAGGTCAATAGAAATGGAAACCGATAAATAAAAATGCAAAGAAAAACAAAAACAAAATGGCCGTAGGAGTCGAAAAAGACAGGAAACAGAAACAGTAAGAATTCCCCCCCCCCTCCCAGTCGCTGACCAGGATGTGGTGGACCAAAATGTCACCTTCCACATCCATTATCAAATAACTACAAAAGAATAACAATTATGATCACTGGGCAGAATAAAAAGAATAATTCTAATACATGTTTGACGTATATACAGTATCTAATTTTATCTGAATTGCCCAAAATCAATTTATTCGTGCTAAGTGTACATTTCTTTACCTACAATTATTATATCTCTATCTCCTCATCTCTGCGCTTCGTAGGACTGAAGTAAAAATTCCGAAAGACGTAATCCTCCCACATGGGCTGCGTCCCCCCTCTCTCGGCTGCACTTCGGTCCAGCTCCAAGTAGATTTCCCGGAGACTCTTCCCGCCGGCGTGTTCCTGCAGCACTTGGCACAGGTTGCGGATGAAGTATGTCCCGAAGGAGGCGTTGCGAAGGGCGCCGCTTCCCTCCCCGGCAGCGTGGACGGTCACCATGTCCCTTGGAGAATCCGAAACTTCGAAAGCCGGGCAGGTCTCGAAAGCGCCTCTGCGACAGAAGTTGGCGAAGAAGATCTTAGGTTTCCCTCGGAGCGCTGGACACTGTCCGTCCGTGAACATGCGGTGGATTCTGGAGAGGCACAGACTTTGGCCGTCCTCGGTAAGGAAGTCGCGAACACCTTTTCCGTGGCTTAGAAAGAACATGACCAAGCTGTCGACGTTCCTAATGCTCTCTCCATCTCTTATGAGTTTCAGCTCCATCAGAGTCGCCCTTCTGGACAGATCCTCTTTGACAAACACTCGATAACCCATGTCGGTGAACGTTTTCTGGATGCTTTCGGAGTCGTAGTCAGCCCCGTCGCGTTGGTTGTGTTTTCCCGTGAACTTGTAGTTGAAGACATAGACATTGCCCCGAGGGTGAGAAGCCATCCGGTAAGATTCAGTCGATGTCTGTGGAAAATGGACTAATTTGGTAAGTAAATAGATGAATGATTAAAGCAGATTAACGTTAGAAATGTAATGATTCTGGTTATGCAATATATAATTGTTCAGAAAATGGACTAATTTGGAAAATCGTAGTAAATAAATGAATAAATAAAGCAAATTAACGGTATAAATGCAATGAGGATTCTGATTATGAAATATATTATTGTTCAAGTTTTATCGTGGTAAGTAAATAGATGAATAAATAAAGCAAATTAACGGTAGAAATGTAATGAAGATTCTTATTATGAAATATATAATTGTTCAAGTTTTTAAAAGTTAGGAAAGTAGTCATATATATCATATTTCAATATATTATATCAATGTGTTCCATAATGCTGGTAGAGTAAAATACACAATTACATTATCTTCCTCCTTGCTCTGTGACTCTCCCTTACTGAGCTCTGAATCATACAGCTGTCTGAGGCCAAACGCTTCCTCCTCTTCAGTGTCCTCTTGTTCATATAACTGTGTGAGATTCAGTTCTTCTTCACTTAGCTCTCCCTCCTCTCTTTTGCTGTGTTCTGTCCATGGCTGTTGCAGGTGGAACTCTTCTTCACTCTCTTCTTGGCTTTGCTCATTCTTCTCGTATTCTTGGCCTCGTTCTTCCTCTTTCTCTTCTTGGCTTTGCTCTTCCTCTTTCTCTTCTTGATTTTCCTCTTCCTCTTCTTGGCTTTGCTCTTCCTCTTCTTGGTTTTGCTCATTATTCTCGTATTTTTGGCCTCGTTCTTCCTCTTTCTCTTCTTGGTTTTCCTCTTCCTCCTCCTCTCCTAGGCTTTCCTCTTCCTCCTCCTCTCCTAGGCTTTCCTCTTCCTCCTCCTCCTCTCCTAGGCTTTCCTCTTCCTCCTCCTCCTCTCCTAGGCTTTCCTCTTCCTCCTCCTCCTCCTCTCCTAGGCTTTCCTCTTCCTCCTCCTCTCCTAGGCTTTCCTCTTCCTCACTGTCGTCTGTACTGTCCGAATCGCTTTCCTCAGTTGATTCCCTCGTCTTCCTTTCGAGTGACGGTTTGTTATCGTCATACTTTTGGTGCTCCCTACGACGCCTCTCCCCCTCGCGAACTGTTGCCGTCGTGCCATTCGTCCGCGGCGCGAATCCGAGGCGGAAGTTGGCTTGCTTTTGCGACTTGCGGACGGCTCCTTTCTCTTCGTTTGAGGTCAGCCTCCCTTCGCTTCCCGTGCTCTGTTCTCGTCCCGTTCTTGATCTCATGTGGGGTGCGGTCATCCTCTGGGGAAAGGTTACATCATATATATATATATATATATATATATATATATATATATATATATATATATATATATATATATATATGTACACACACACAGACACACACATACAAACACACACACATACACACACACACATACACATATATGTATATATATGTATACTTATAAGTATATATATGTATATTCATATGTATAAATGTGTATATGTGTGTGTGTGTGTGTGTGATTTGATGAACAGACTACTAACTATATACTGTCCTCGGTGTACTTTAAGACCTGATGTGGCTAGCTTTTATTTAGAAAAAGAGAGAGAGAGAGAGAGAGAGAGAGAGAGAGAGAGAGAGAGAGAGAGAGAGAGAGAGAGAGAGAGAGAGAGAGAGAGAGAGAGAGAGAGAGAGAGAGAGAAACTGAATAATAATATTTTCATACACATTCATTTATGTACATTATTTTTTCTAGTCATTAGAGAAAAAGTTTCTATGCAAACTGATTTTCTGTTTACAGCGTGTTTCAGAACAAATGAGTGGATGGTATTAAACATGTTTGAAGATTCTTTTGTACTTACTTTTACCTATTTAAAAAAATAATTGGAAATGTTTTAATGTTTAGGATGTACTTTCCAGAATTTTGAAATGTCTATTCTTACACGTACTAAACCTTTTTGAAAATTGTCTTTCTTACTTACCCTTACTTATTTTTAGATATAAATGGTCTCTCCTGGGATGGTTTTAATGTTTCAGCTGTACTTTTATCCAAAGATTTGAACTGTCTACTCCTACATTTCCCAAAGTTTGTGCTTCTTCACGAACCTTTCTTAATGCTAATTTGTACCGTTTTCTCTCCTCAATCTTTATTTTTCAAGGTCTTGTAGTTTT